TTCTTTAGGTGAAGCAGGTTCTCGATGAAATCCTGGAGAAACTCCCTGATGAATTCAATGTGCCTGAAATGATGGCTAGAGTAGAGGATCGTACTCCATACACTGTGGTAGCATTCCAAGAGTGTGAACGAATGAACATGCTCACGTCCGAGATGAAAACATCACTGAAAATGCTTGACCTCGGTCTWAAGGTATTGAYCTATCATATGTAGTATTATCTGAARTCGTGAGTWATCTTCATCAATCCGTGAAATAAATTTTAAGAGTAAAAGTGTAATCATGTGTGAACACCGAAAAGAGGAAGTATTTCACRGCTTTAGCAAAACCACTAATAATAATATAATAATAGTTTATAATAATTTATAACATCATTGAAATCATACGTGGTTTCTTATGGCAAAGTGGCTGATTGTTTCACAGACTGAGTGTGTCGTTTGTTATCTTCTAGGGTGAGCTGACCATCACTTCAGACATGGAAGAACTATCAAATGCTCTCTTCCTGGATACTGTCCCAGAATCCTGGACCAAGCGTGCCTACCCATCCATGGCAGGCCTGGCTGCATGGTTTGTTGATTTACTACTTCGTATCAAGGAACTGGAACAGTGGACGTCGGACTTTATTCTTCCAAATGTGGTATGGCTGTCAGGGTTCTTCAATCCACAGTCTTTCCTAACAGCCATTGAACAGTCTATGGCAAGGAAGAATGAATGGCCTTTGGATAAAATGGCTCTGCAAGTTGATGTGACCAAAAAGAATAAGGAAGACTTTAATAGTCCACCAAGAGAAGGTATTGTTGTTGTTGTTGCTGTTGCTGTTGTTTTTGTGGTTGCTGTTGTTGTTGTTGTTGTTGTTGTTGTTGCTGCTGCTGCTGTTGTTGTTGTTGTTGTTGTTGTTGTTGTTGTTGTTGTTGTTGTTGATGTTGTTGTTGTTGTTGTTGTTGCTGTTGTTGTTGTTGTTGTTGCTGTTGTTGTTGTTGCTGTTGTTGTTGTTGTTGTTGTTNAAGACAGAGAGGTCCAACATATGTCTGGAATTTCTTCCTCAAGACCAAGGAGAATCCAGCCAAGTGGACCCTGGCAGGYGTTGCTCTTCTTCTTAGTGTTTAGGTGTGTGTGTTATTTATTAGTGAAACGTTTTTTTGGTTTTCGGCTGTTTTATTATATATTCCATTTAATGTATATTTGCTTTGAGGGCATTTTACCGGCCAAAAAATTAAAGAATTTTTTTTTGAACGGCAAAAAATAGGGAAAACTGTGTGTCTGAAATTTGTGAGTCCTAAAGATGAGTTTGAAAGGTAGTTTTCGTATTTGGTATAGTTTCACATTTTATTTTTGTATATTAGTTCACTTGTCGTTTCCCAAATACCTATTTTATTTTTAATTTTCATATTTTGTTTTTCTTCATTCGTGAGTTTCTGTTAACCATTAATTTACGTGTGAGTAAGTCTACCTTGATTTTTATTCGTTTTTGTCACTAACTCTTCTTTCATGTGACGAATATACATGTTCTTCATTYTCTTCGCTTTTGCACCACTCATTTAAGTGTTTTGTCTCCCAGAAGGAGAACTAAAATATCAGTTTTGGGATKCTGGTATTTGTGTAAATCCAGACGATATTCCGTGTGGTATTTAATATATTATAATACATTCAAAATGTACACAAAATTCTAAATTTTTTCATAAGACATTTTATGTCTCATTTGTGTAAATATTTTTTAGATAAATAAAGCTATAACGATTTTATAAATGTTTAATTTGTGATTATTATGTTAACACARGGCACTTCGCGTCCAAACGATAATTTTTTAATGAATTGCAATGAATTGCTATTAAAAGTAGATTGATAGCTGAGGAGCGAAAACTGCGAATTTTGCAATACTGAGTCCATTTTTCAGAAACAATACCCAGAAGAATTCGTTCGCGGTCATTCGAAGTTTTTTTGACAACTAACATCAATAGTGTACAGTCATAACTTACTAGAAGATTTAACAAGTTTGATATTTCTCGCAAGACATTCTACCAACGCATCCCATAATTTTTCACCGATTCAAGATGGCGACCACGTTGGTCCAAAGGTCAAATATTCTCTTCTTTATTCTTCGAACCATTTATTGCTATCACGTTGGCCATTGTTGAGTCATCTCCCTCTGTCTTCATCGGCAGTATTCGCACACTCCGACATGGTGATCTCAACATATTCCTGATAGACAGTCGCAGGTCTGATCGAAGTGACGAGTAAATGATGGGGTTCAATAACGATGTTAAATCTATTATAAGTATAGCCCCAGTTAGTATTATCGATGGCAGGCTGCAGCAGTACGTTGTTAGAGCTCTTGTTACAATGTAMGGTGTCCAGCAGATKATGAATGYTAGTATGATAGCCAATGAGATTTTAGCGAGTTTGGCTTCACTTTGGGCTGGAATACAAGATGTATTAGTGAATAATAGAAATCTGGGGCAGTAGTTTTAACATGTAATTCATTTTTCTGTATATAAAAAAGCGAGTTTTGTATTCAAGTGAATAATTGTTCTTTCGTTTCAATTTTTGAACCAAAAGGCTTGCCTTGGACAAAAGTGTAATCACATATGAAAACGGAAAAGAAACGCGATGGAGATGAATAAAAATGGAATTAAGTTCATTTCAAAGTGATAATTAACCATTGTTTKATCATGTACAATGATTCGTGATAACATCATATATCACCCATGATTTACTTTAATGTATTCCGCAGAAAAATAAACAATGTTAAAAGCACTATACAGAGAAGAAACATCGTCAAACATGACGCTTAAATATTGATTTTTACATTTTGTTACCTCGTCGTCTGGTCATGCACATCGCTTGTGATCCTAARCCAGTTTCCTCRCCATTTTGTSYAAATAAACTCTTGTTTTGCTCTCTGACAAGTCTAAGCGTCATCACATTCATAATCGTCAGAAGAGAAAAAGGGACAATAAAGTTAACGGACAGTACACTCATGACAAACCAGTCCTCTCGGTACTTCCATCCGATTCCACAATCCATGCTCATTGGATCAAACTTTATGGGGACAAAAACACCGCAGAGAATCCCAAAAACAGTCCCATGGACCCATGGATATGCAATCATGAAGACTTTCACTTTAATAGTCAAATGTAKAACGTATTTTAAGGGACATCCTAAAGCCAAAAAACGGTCAATGCTTAGCATTACTAGTGTTAGCATTGAAATTATAAACAAGACATAGGAGAACAGACCCCCAACATTGCACACCGGTCCTTCRCGAGAAATCAAGCCCACGTTCAGAAAGGTAGCAAGCTGGTAGTTCATTGGTAGAAATGCGGTTGCGACGTCGGTTATGGCAAGGCTGAGAACAAGCTGATTAGCAAATATACTTCGAAGACGTTTTGTTTTGAGTAGGACGACAACAATCAGAAGATTCCCACACAAACTGARAAACATGACAAGGAACGTCAGTACTGATAAAGTTATCCATTCCTCTTTGGAACGCGAAGGATGGAGCGTTGCATTTTCATCTTTCATCTTGTAACTCTTTGGTCCGATATATGAGTAGAGAAGCTTTATCTTTAGTTTAGATGTACATSTTTAAGATTAATAGCTTTGAGATCCATGCGCCAACATAAGTGACATTTATAAAAGCTACTTATAATATAAGTCTTGGTAATTATAAATCACACGACAGTTAACTACTCTTATATTAACTGTAGAATATTCCCCGAATATATGAATTCCTCGAACTGCCAAAAATCGAGGCGCCGTTAGTTTCGTACAAATGGCTGATGATAAAAGTATATTCTCAATCCCCAATTAGTGACGTTGATATTACCATGGTAACTCTGTGGTGATGTTTCAGCTGTTCCCCAAGTTAGTTGCACTTGTGTGAAGTATAAGGGACAAGTTTACTCTTCGATGTAATTAATGGCCTTTTGTTCATTTGTAAGTGTGATCGTATTTCGCTGGTTTTGAACGTGGCTAAGCGATTAATGTACAATTTGTGTGTTCCGACTTTGCCCGTGAAATTATTGAGAGGAAATTAGAGCGCGAGCTCCTCCAAACGCTTCTTCGTCCCTTCAAAATTTGCGCATGCTCTATGATAACAGAGCATCCAATATGTTTCCAACTTTTTAATATCTTCGGTACCCTATGATATTTTACTTTAATTGCGCCRTACAATTGAGAATGTATGACATTTATACGCCTCAAGAAGTTTTATTTTAATTAATATTCAATAATGTGAATGCAATAATACAATAATCTGATGCGGAGGTCGCAAACACTGTCAACTTATCAATACATCTGATCACTTACTATGCTCCAAGTTCTGATCAAAATCAGTAAAATATCAACATTTCGGTAGATATGGAGAGTGATTTTGGCCATTTTATGCGTGTTTTAAGAATGTATATTGTACACAATCAAGATTTCGATTTATTATCTATTCTCTCTTTACTATATACATTTTCTTAGGAATATTGATAATGCATGGACTTCAATCAATTTGACAAAAGTCACTTCTCTTGGAGTTCCTATACCCACACAAGACGCGCGCTTGACAATACCGTATTTACTCGAATAGACGCCGCCCCCGAATAGACGCCTCCCTCAAATAAACGCCGCATCTGGATCGTGAAAAATGAAATAAACGCCGCGGCGTCTATTCGAGTAAATACGGTATTGCCAGTAATCAATATCTTCAGTTTGTARACGTAGGTTTTTGTAAAAGAGGAAATTATAATCTACATTTGCGCAAAAGATCACGATTTGACACGATTTGAAAGGCTATTATAAATGAGCTGCAGGAATCTTATTAAGATACCTAAGTTTTATACTTRATATATTTCCAGCCATGTTATATTTACATATGGTTAAGCAAAATATGATAAAAAAAGAAAACATTACTTTCATGATCACCAGAAACATGACAAGGAAAGCTGCAAATCTATGGCATTGATGGATATAGAGCGGATTTCGTATGAGTGGGAAACGGACGGTACTGTACTGTGACCGTAATCGTACTGTAACCAAAATTCTAGTGCCCCATTGATTCACCAAAATTGTGCAGGCCAGGTCCGGTAACTGTGCGGTAACCGTGCGGTAACGGTGTCCCACTCATACGAAATCCGCTCTATATTTGTGATATAACACCGAGCAGGTTTTTCTGCCTTTTTTCAGGTCCAGATTTGCTCTCTAAGAAAATTATTGCACATTAAACCAATGATTATTTGTTATAGTTTACACGATTTGTCTATGCCCTTAGTTTTACTGTAAGGCCATTTTGGTTTGCCATTTTCAACCTCTTTGATATGACAAGAGTTGATTTAATTAACAGGAAGACAGTGTAGACTGCTTCTTACTGAGACGCGTATTCTGCGTCGCCGCCTTGCAGTCGGATGAACCATGAGTTTTCGATCGAGATTCCGCTAAAGGCTGAATTTTGTTTTTCTTCAACATCTTACAAAGTGCCTGTTGGACGTCAGTTCTTAATGACGAGTAAATGATAGGGTTGGCAAAGGACGATGCGTGGACTATCCAAGCTGCACTAGACATCACCGCTGAAGATAA